AAAAGTGGTCTCTCTTGATCAAATGCGACCACTCAGCTTCGTCAATTCGAAACAGTCTGTCTGATAACGCAGAATTGACCCGGTCGGACGGACCGGTCGAGAGAGGACACCGTCCCAAAGACCGCGGAGAACTTCCGCGCCCTTTGCACTGGCGAGAAGGAGAGGGTGAAAGAGCTCTTGAGGAAGAATGGTTTGTTTGTCGCCCGCCCCCCCTCCCTGCTCAATCAAGTAGGTGCCTGCTAAATTCAGTAAGGGAGATGTAGCTTAGTACCTTACTTAAGCTACTAGGTACGGACGCTGGGATAGCTCACGTTCGCACTAAAGATTTGGTTCCTAGACTTTTAGGGAAACTTAACTTTCTAGCTTTTGAGTAAGAAGGAAAAGGTATTGTATGAAGATATCTTCCATTGTAGCATGGAAGGTTCTTTCACCAAATGCTGATTACAAAATCATTATATGGTGATGTGCGTGCCAAAGAACAGCCATCCTCAGACGAAAGAGATGTTTTGATTTTTTGCGGCAGACACCGTACTAAATCGAGCCAAAGGGGCGCTGAATGAACCTGCCAGGGCAAGGGGCGCTCTGGGAAGCCGTTGCATTACAAGGGCAGCGCGTAGAGATCTGAGTCCATGAACTTGGACGACAAGACAAGACCTTGAGTAGACAGTCGTCCAAGTCCAAGTTCTTGTTGTGAATTGAATAGAACATATGTCTTGCAACTGTCATCCTGCCTTGAATAGAGAATGCCCAGTTTGACTTCATGTTCGTGTTTCTCTAGGTCTAGGTGGGCTCTCGGCACACAACTCCAAAAATCATGTTCCATTTCTTTAAAGAAGCATGGTCAAGAACTCTAGATGCTCGTGACAAGGCAACCTTTAGATGTCCTTTTAAAAGCCTCTAATTTGTTCTTTTTGGGTCGTTTGGCTTGGCGCGACGTGTCTACCAGTGGGCGCCCACTGCTCAGGTTCCATCGGGTGATCCCGGACTTCATGTGTCACTTGCGCCGCATGGAAGCTGCGAGCGACCGGCGCACCGATGTCTCGTTTGATGCAAAGGATATGGATCAAACGATCACGTGCAAGCAGGTCTGCAGAAGTACGGGGTGGCCTGCGGGTCGGTTTCGGTGATTTTCCAGAAACCCATGACACCACTCTTCCGCGACCTCAGTGCTGAACCGCCTCAGGCCAAGGTGGCGACTTCACCAAGGGAAACGGTACGGGTGGAGAGCCAGGTCCTTGGCGATGGGCAGATGGGAGGCAATGGGTTTGGTGGGCGAAGAACTTGCTAAGGACCAAACGCAAAAGAGGACGGACACCTTGAGCAAAGCTGAAAGGTTCCGGAAGCACAAAAACGTGTTATTATGCCATCGCAAGGGAATTAGTTAGATGAAAACTGATGTATTGGCGCTCACCTCATTTTGACATGGGCCCGTGTGCAAAAATATGTTCTCCAAGATGTCTTGCGTGCTTGTGAGAATTGCCTTAATGGGCGAAGATTTGGATGGCAGATGAAAAGAACTTTGCTGCGAAAGGTCGTGCACGAACTTGCTAAGACGCTCTCCAGCCATGCTGGGTGCTCTATGAAGAAGACAGGATTTCTTTCACTGTTCACCCACCAGGTCTCTATATGGACCCTTCTCTAAGGTCCATCTATGGGGAGAAGTTCCGTTGGGCGCCCCAGTTGACGTACGAGACCTGACTGGGGAGACTTGACCTGATTGAATGAAGGTCTTTCTAGGGTGATTTGAAACCACCTCAGTTAAAAGGATCAAGGGACACGACCGGACCCAAATGAGGAGGACCTAGAAGTACAGGAGATTTACTGTAAGTTGGCAGGAAATCAGGTTCTCCACAAGCAGAAATTCCGGACGCGAACTTAACCCTTCCCATTGGTTCGGGTCCAGATTCTTAGGGGTGTATTATGTATATGTTATATTTATGTATATAACCATATGTACAATAGGTGACAGTCAAATGCTTTCGCTCGTGAAGCCACAGCCCCCCCCGCAAGGGTCGATTCTTCGGCCGATTCGTTCCGTCGTCGATGCGTTCCGTCCGCGGTCGGCCGGCGGCGTTGGCGGAACAAGGCGATGAGAACTTCAAGCACAAGCACACTGGACCTGGCATCCTATCCATGGCAAATGCCGGGCATCGAGCCTAGAGGGAGGACTCTCGCATCATCCTAGCCTGGATGCGGTCAGAGCAGCGGGAACGATGGCCCGGACGATGGCCCGATGTAGGAGACCAGCCAGGAACGATGTCCGGACCAAGAGGGACAAACCTTAGGGAAACTTAACCAATAGCGATGGCCTCCACCCTAGTAGCGGCCTCCAACCTACTAGCGTTGTTGAACAAACCCAGTTCAAGTCGCAGCTGTTGGGATGACACGTCGTGGTTACACTCCTTGAAAAACTTATGGGCCAACGTGGATGGATGTGGATGGCATGGCGCATTGGATGACCATGTTCCCATGTTCCTTTACAAACCGGTGCTTTCCACTCACTTCCATGATGGATTTGGAGTGCTCACTGACCCAGCTTTGCGCGCCAAGGCCAAATACCAACGGTTCGCAGTTCTTCCTTTGTACCACCGTGCTGTTCTTATTCCGCGCCGCCGTGCGCGCGTGGCCAAACCGACACCGCGACGCCACGCGATCGCACCACCTAGGCGACGCCACACTTGAACGGCAAGCATGTGGTCTTTGGCAAGGTGCACCACCAGACTGGTGCACGCCAAATTCGGAATGACGGAGAAGAAAAAAAGAATGGGTGAATGGGTGCGTTTTTGGGAGCAACTTGGCACCTTCCGGCCTGTGAAACCGGTGGGGTGGTGGAATCCCAGTCTTCACGATAAGAAAACGGTGGCTCCAACGACGGTCTTGTTGATTGCTTTTTCTTCAAGGAGTTCGTGTCCATGAACTCACTAGTCCATGAGTGCAGCATGTTGAGTTGGACGTGAGTGAAGCAGGAAGTGCAAGTTGTAAACAGATCGCTGAAGGTCTATGTTGGTTTTTTGGCATTGTTTGATTTGTGAATTTGCGAGGCCCTCGATGAACTCTGAATTTAGCGGACCCAATAAGCCAGACTTTCCATAAAGGGAAGGACGTTTTGGACGTCAGGTCAGTTGTTGAGAATCTTGAGGTTCATCACACACAGGGCCTGTTCAGAGCCACTCGACATGCCACATGGGCCGCTCGCAGGTGGTTGAAGGTATGGACATCGTGCGGCAGCCGAGCACTTTTGGTTTGTGAGGACAAGAGGGAATGCGTGTTGACAAGGGCTCATAAGGATTCATAAGGAAGTCATGCAAGTCATAAGTCATAACAGAGAGTTAGGTTGGAGGCCATCGCTATTAGATAGATACTTCAATTTGAGTCCATGATTCCTTCCTTTCACCATGCTGTCGCCAACAGCTCCACATCAGTAGCTTGTTTGGATCGACGTACTGGGCACCTGAGGTGAGGCTTGTCGAAAAGGAGGGGACATCGAATGGCAAGCTGGAGCCCGAGCAGCTAGCAAACTAGCTAGTAGCAAAGTGCTTGAGTACCCATTTTCACCCGTCTCATGGAGAAAACAAGCCGCGATCCTGTCTTGACCAAAAAATAATGTGAACCGGCATCCTGGAAGAGTACTTTCCGAAGACTGGTTGGTGCCAAGATGGTTCTGGTTTCGGTTGCATGCCCCTCCTGTTCCATGTGCCTTCTGAGGACCAAACGGCCAGTGGTGATCGAGGCGATCATGTTTGCCGTGAAAGGAAGGCAAACAAGATCAAGAACGACCACTATAGCTCCACAAACAGACAACCACACAATGGCATTACCGCGTTCCAAAGAAAGAGGCATGTGAGCCAGGTAGGGCCAGGTAGGGCGATAAAAAGCCAGAAATGTAAAATGCGGTTTTGCAAAGGAGTCATGGTCTAGCTCATGTTGTTCAGGTGGGAATGGCTTCGGCTTCCCAAGAGAGAGAGAGAGAGAACGTTGAAGATCAGCCGTGTGCTGACTCATACAGTCTATAGAGCGCATGTGGGCCCTTGCTCCTAGTAGCTATTTGCTCCTAGTAGTCAGGCCAGGAGCGCCCTTAGTAGCGTCCATGCTAGTAGCGATGCCCTTTACTACTAGTAGCAAACTAAACAGTTATTGATGCATGTGCATGTCGCTGCATGGCATTGGCATGATGATCGTTTGCGGAGGACTGCGGAGAACTTGGCAGCGCACTGAGAATGTCCCAGGACACGGCTGTTTTCGTCCTTTCAAGTTCTCGTGTTTGCACCGGCCTTGCAGTGCTTTTGGCCTGGCCGTCGTTTCCTACCAAGTAGGCATGGCGCTCCGATGGGCACCCTTTGGCATCGTCAGTCGGTTCTTTGGTGGGTCACCAGCCAGGGTCGCTTCATTGGATGTTTGAAAGAAGCATGTAGCGATACTTCATGCGGAAGGCCTGCACTGGGAAGCCAAAGAAGAAAAAGAATCCCATGTTTACTTTGCACTTGCTTAGGAGATAGCAAAGACGGAGAGGTTGGTTTCCAAGTCAAGCTTCCAATTTGGAACCCACACTCTAAGCAAAGAACTCACGGCTGGATGGGCATGGTGATGGCGAACAGCTGTCTTTCCTTTGACCCGTTCGTTTGTCATCGTTTGTTTGTGACCAACCTGCCCCTAGCAGCGTCCTTGCTCCTAATAGCGATGCCCTTTGTTACTTGTAACATTGCTCCTAGCAGTATGGCCAGGAGCCCCGAACGTAGCGTCCGATCGCTCCTAGCTGAACCTGCCCCTTCTTCCAATGCTTAGGTGGTGGCAGTGCCAAGGGCCGCGAGCGCAGCCCGCGTCGCTAGGGACCGAGGTGAGCCTGGCCGAGCTAGGGCCGACCAGGCGGCCGAGCGTATAGAGAAAATGGTGCGGGGAGCACAGAGCGCTCAGTTTGGAGATGAGGACAGTACTAGTACTTTCGTCTTCTCTTCGTGTGCGTTTTTTTGGTAGCTGACAGTCAGACAAACAGCCACTCGTGCAGTTTGGCTCAGTCGGGATTTCACTTTGTCATCGCTTCGGCCAGCGCTATGTTCTGCAAGAAGAGGGACACCCAACCAGGTGAGGGCAAGGACCCGAAAACATTTCGTGCCTTTAGGATCCTTCGCTTTTTCGTTGACAGCTGCAAAGAGCAGGACATTCGGATTAGCTACCATGGTTCATCACACAGATGCCTGAAAAAAGAGCTAGGCGCTACTGCGCTACACATCATTTTTCCTCGGTTCCGAACGCTTCGAATGCTGTTCCCGTGTCACATGTTTAATTCTGAAGACCCGCCAGGAGCCCCTACCAATCCTACACACGGCGTTTTTGTGCATGATCGAGGGTGCGCACTTTTACACCGTTTGCGCCATCTTCAGAGCCTGGGCCTTCGCGAAATCGTCCGAAATCGCTAAGACCGAAGACGCTAAGAGATCCGCATGACCTGCACGGGTTCAGCTGACCACTTGAAAGATATCCACTCCGGATGTCAGACATGAAGGTATGAAGAGTTTTGATCTTGACCTGCAGAACCGAAAGGGAGCCCATCGCTAGTAGGTTGGGGAAGCCATTGCTATCAGAAACCAAGAAAAGAGAGAAGGAAGAAAGGTCTATAAAGTTTGCTATTAGGTTGGAGGCCATTGGCTAGTAGGGCTCCGATTAGAGCCCCGACCTGGCAGGCTCCGAAAAGGGTTAGAGCCTCGGAAAGTCTAACCTTCGCCAAGCGGATCTGAGGCTTTGCAGGTGTCCTGAGTGCGGATCTCGGATGGGTGGCGGACAAAAACGAGGCTGGCTTTGTGGCAGGCGGGGCGGGGCGAGGCCTCATGGGCAGCCCAACCAAAGCAGCGCAGTGCATTGAAGCGGTGGGAGGGCGACCAATTCGATTTCTGAGCCAATTACAATTCTACTAGGAACAAGTGCATCGCTACTAGTAACAAGTGCCTTACTGGTAGTAACAAGATTCTTTTTGTTGCTAGTAGTAAGGCACTTGTTTCTAGTAGCTTCTTGTTACTACTAAGGCACTTGTTACTACTAGCGATGCACTTGTTCCTAGTAGCGATGCACTTGTTCCTAGTAGCTTCCTACCCCACAGAACTGGGAAAGTTAACCAGCTCATCCAGATGCACTCTTTGGTTTCAAAGCTCCTTTTCACTGTGTGGACGCCTTTGGGCCAAACCGCTATATGCTAGAGGCTGGTTGCAATCCTCCAATGTGTGCGGACGCATCGTGACCTCAACCGCCTGGGGCTTTGTGGCAGCTCGGTATGGCCCAAAAGTCGTTCTGAGCTACACCTTGGCTTCTTTGCTGGCTGGTGGCATCTTGTGCCTTGACGAGTCGATTTTGAGAGGTCGGGGCTCCACACGTTCCTGGGTCCCCGGGTCACAAGGAGTCCGGCTCTTTGGGTGAGAAACCTACAGCTGTCATGTGACAGGCGTCCGATCGCTCCGTTCGTAGCTTCCTTCCTTCCTTCCTTCCTTCCTTCCTTCCTTTTCACTTTCCCATCTTGTTAACACTTAAGTCTTTCACTTCCATGAAACAATCCACTTCGTTCGGCATTGGGTGCCAAACATCGGAAAAGTCCTTTGAGGTTTGGATTTTGCACCAATTTGATCGCTTCCATGAGCGTCCGCTTCCTCTTCTTCGGCCTCTTGAACGGTTGGCTGGTCCTTCAAGGCCCCTGTGCCTTGGCCGTCGCCGGGCCTCAGCGACAGACCGATGTGCTGGGCTTCATCTTCGCGGCCGGCAGCGGCATGCAGCTGGTGGGGCCGGCCGTGGCCTGGGCGGAAGGGCGGACGGGTTGAGGTAGAAGGGCCGAGGGGGTGGTCAGCAGGGAGGAGGTTCAGGAGCTTGTCTCGCTCGTGTGTTGACCTTCAGAGCTGCTTCAGATCTTCTTCCAGGGATTCAAACAAGAGTTATTCTTGGTGGCCATGCCCTCTTACATACCATGTTTTAAGATGCTTTAAGAGCGGGACATTTTGAGTGGCGAGGGCACCTTCTTGAGCAGGAACCAGGACAGAAAACAGAGGAAGACGTCAGGATGTCCCTTACATTTGTCAGAAGTTGGGCGTGTTTTCAGAATGAGGGCGCCTCGCCCATCATTCCCTTCCAATTTGACGAATCCAGGTGGATTTGCATTGTAATCCTATGCGAATCGTCCGACGCAAGTTGATGGGTCCGTGAGGGCTTCCTGTTCTGCAGGAGTTCTGTTTAGCAGCTGGTTTTTAGCAGTGACAGAGGATGACTGTTGACTGACTCCAATTTAGACTCTTGATTAACAAACCCCCATTGAATTGCAAAAAAAACTTTTTCCTATGGCGGGGTTAGGAGTCTACATGAGTGGTATATACGTTTTGTTCGGACCAGATCAACTCAACCCAGCACGCTCGGACGCTGGTGACGGGCCTTTTCTTCGCCACACGGACCGCGATCCGTCGATTCTGTGCGACACGGCGATGGTGTCTTCCAGTTTCGGTCCACGGGTCACGGGAGAAGCGATGCACAGATTGTAGTAAGGCACTTGTTACTAGTAGCGATGCACTTGTTCCTAGTAGCTTCTTGTTACTACAAGTAAGGCACCTGTTACTAATGTTGACTCTTGATTTATAAACTCCCCCCCCCCCCTCAACAACCAAGGCCTCCAATATAATATATAAGAAAATCAATCAATTGATAATTAAATAAGGAATCCTTAGCTAGCTACCTCTGGAGCTACTCTGGCAATATTAAAATAAAAGGAATTAAGAAACCTAACTTTGAAGACATCTGGAATATTAATTAGAATAAAAGGGAATGAATCAATGGACAAAGAACAAAGAACTAACTTTTTAAATTTCAATGGAAAGCATCAAATCTCAATGGAAATCTTCAACTGTGTAATAGAAATCTCCATCCAAAAGCCTCCTAAAGCATCAAACCTCAATGGAAATCTACAAATTTTGAATAGACATCTCCATCCAAAAGCCTCCAAAAGCATCAAATCTCAATGGAATCTCAGAATTTCTAATAGAAATCTCCATCCAAAAGCCTCCAAAAGCATCAAATCTCAATGGAAATCTACAAAGTTTTAATAGAAATCTCCATCCAAAAGCCTCCTAAAGCATCAAACCTCAACGGACATCTACAAATTTTGAATAGACATCTCAATCCAAAAGCCTCCAAAAGCATCAAATCTCAATGGAAATCTCCAACTGTTTAATAGAAATCTCCATCAAAAGGCATCCAATCTCAATGGAAATCTCCAAAATTTCAATGGACATCTGAAGCAGCAACAGCGACAAGCAGCAACAGCATTGGAAGGGGGGTTTGAGAGATGTTCAATGAGTTGTAGCACTTTAGAATCTGGAATATTGAAGCCTTTGAGCCTTGCCTTCCAGCTTCAACCCCCCCCCCCACTTGCTTGCAGGAAACACAGTGGTGGAGATGTTGAAGAAAAGTCCTTTTAAGAAGGAAGAAAAGGCTTCAAAGAAAGGTTAAAGAAGAGTTGAAGAAAGCTTGGAGGGGTGTCATTTCTAGATTGCAAAAAGCTTGAAGAAAGCTTGAAGCGCACCCTTAGTTTGAGCTTGGGTGTCCAAAAAGGTTCTAGGCTTGGCAGCTTGAAGGAATACTTTGTTAGAAGGGGTTGGGGTCCTGGGTTGGAGCTTGCAGTTTGAAGGGCTTTGCAAGGGTGCACTTTGAAGCACTTTGAAGTTTCTTTTTGAGGGAGTTGCAACTTGCAGCATTCAGTTGAAGTCTGTTTTGCAAGGGTTTGCAGCTTGAAGAATGGATTTGGAGGGGTTTGCAGCTTGCAGCATTCAGTTGAAGCTTGCAGCAACAGCAGCTTTCAGCTTTTCAAGTGGGCCTTGCAGCGCGTGACTTTCAGCCTGGGATTTGCAGCACCTTGAATGACACTGGCACAGCTTTCATTTTGAGGTTTGTTTAAGTCCCAAGTGTTCTTAAAGATATGATTCATCAGTTCAATGCATTGGGCACCTTGTTCAGGCCATGGCTTTCAGCAGCTTCTTGGAGAAGATCTTTGGCTGCTTGGAGTGGGCCTTGGAGATGCTTGGGTGGCTTCTAGGCCACCTTGCAGTGGTCTTGACAGCTTGGCTGGTTGGAGTTGGAAGCTTGGAAAGAAATCAGCAACTTTTTTTCTTTAAAGCTTGGAGATTGGCTTGCAGCTTGGAGACAACTATTTCTAGTCTCAAAGAATGTTTAAAAGCTGTGAAGGCATTGGCCACTTCCAGCTCCTGACACCTTTTGCAGACTGGACTGGCTTTGCAGGGGCTTTGCAGGTGTCTTTGCAGATTGAAGCTGGGTTATATTCTAGTAAGTCTTCTATTTGCAGCTGCCAGGATAGCTTAGACTCTTTGAGCTGTGGTCATTTGATTGATAGTGTTTTAAAGTGTTTTGCATTGAAAGCGCACTTGAAAGGGTCCTATTTTGAGCTCATCTCAGGTGCAAGCCTTTGCAGTGTGCTTTGATGTCTTCAAGCTGGTTCAAGGGTCTGCCACTTTGAAGTCCTGCTTGGAGAACCTTGAAGGGACCTTGGAGTGGGTGGAGAGCATTTCAGCAGATTGCAGATACATTGGAGAGAAGGTCTGCTACATTGAATGCAGCATCTCAAATGGGTTGTCAGTATCATTTTGTAGGTAGTTTGTTTTTTTCCTGCACTTCTTTTTTGAGCTTTCAGTCCTACAACAATTCATTAAGGACAGGATTCTGCATCAGGCAAGTGCCAGGACTCCATAAGGCACTTGCAGCAACACCTCTTGGAGTTTGACCCCAGCAGCTTGTTTTTTATCAAACAGCTTTGTGTTTTGAAGCTTTGAGTTTGCCGCAGAGTCTCAAGATGTTCTTTTTAATGTTCTAGTTGTAGTTATATTTTGTTTAGGCTTCGCAGACATGTTTTCCTTTGCAGTTTGATGCTTCATGTTTCATTGCAACTAAGCGCGTGGTGGTGCCCAGCTCTTCAAGAGTGGCATGCTGGATTACAGACCTCCTTTCAATGGCAGCTCCTGTGAGGCCTACATGAATCTTTGGCTTTCTTAGTTGAAGTTCTTTTCTATTTTGGAAGTTTTCTATGTTTTGAAGTTTTCTATTTTAGTTTCATTTTGTATTTTTTTGAAGCTCTTGTTATTTTAAAGCCAAGGGCTGAGTGGGACTTGATGGTCTGGGAGACCTGCACTGGCTTGCAGAACGACATCTTTTACAGGAAGTTCCAGCATGCATCTTGGAGGTATTTAATTTGCGTTGCAGTTTTTCATTCCCAGTGGCTCCATTGATTTTTTGTGTTTGAAGTTGTATTTATATAATGGTTTCCATCCCCAATCCATAGTTTCAGAGATTCTTTCAGCCATAACCAGGCCAGTGTTGGAGAGGAGCAGCCCATTTCAGAGCAGGAGCAAGACTTGAAGGTCCTGGAGAACACTTGCAGGCCAGAGATCTTGCAAGTGCGCTTTTTTCCAGAACCTTGTTTGGCATTTGTAATTTTTCTGCTTTTTTATTCTGTGGCTTGGCCCTTCATTGAGTTAATTTGATTGAGAGTTTTCTTTTGTGAGTTTACTTGATTGAGAGCAGCCTCATTTCAGGACAAGGCAGTTCAAGAGCTTCAGGCCACTTGCAGCCCCTGGTCAGCACTTCCAGAGATCACCAATTACAGGCTGACCAGATTGGAGGATGCCAAGAGGCTTGGAATTTGAAACTTTCAAGTTTTCTTTTTGAAGTCCTCAAGATTGAGTTCATTTGAGTTCATGATTTCATTTGGGTTCATGGTTTCATTTGAGTTCAAGATTTCATTTGACTAAGGGCGAAGGCTGAAGCTCTTGGCTTGGAGTGGGAGGTCCTTTCAGCACTTCCAACAGTTGAAGCTCTTCCAGATTGGAACACGCAGGTTCAAGTACCTTGGATAGAGTTGATTTTGCAATACTTTTCTTGGTTCTGTGTTTGGTGTTTGGTTCTTGTTTGCCCTTCTTGCTTAGCTTTCAGTTTGTGCATCTAAGGTGGAGTTTTTCAAGAAGATGCAGCTTTCCAGCAAGGGGGCTTCCAGTGGTGATCCTGCAGTTGAAGGTCCCCAGGACTTGAAGCCCAATTTGGAGCCTGTAAAGTTGCAGGGCAAAACCAAGATTTGCAAGGCTTGAAGCCTTGAGCTCTTTGAGGAGCTTGCAGAACTGATTGCAGGAGTCACAAAACCTTTTGGAGATGCTTTATCTTCAATGTGGATGCAATGAATTAGAGTTTCAAGACTTTCAATTGAAGACTTTCAAGTTGTTTGGACATTTGTTTGAACAGATCCAATTGACTTCAAGGTTTGTTTGAAGAGATCCATGTGTTTGGACATTTCTTTGGAGGTTTGTTGACTTCAAGCCTTTTCACTTTTGAAGGATTGCTGCCCATTCATTGCTTGTAGTCACTTCTGTGTTCAAGAAGGAAGCAGGCTTCTATAGTAGGTTTCTAGGGCAATGGTGCGCGTATCCTTTGAGGGCTGCCAGGGTTGGCTTTGGGTTGATGCATATTTTGAGTTGGAGTTGGGCATTGACAGCATCACCTTTGAGATTTACAGATGGTGTTTCAGAAACAACAGGTGAGGGTTCACAAACATTATGATTTGATTTTTTTAACATGGTGCAAAACAAATCTTCAAGGTTCAATGTTCAACATGTGATTTTGAACCCCCTATCAGGTGGCAGTGGTACTATTTGAGCAGCCAAGAAGTTCAAGATTTGGAAGATAAATCTTTTGAGTGGGAAAATGAGTGTTGGAGTTTTGCATTTGTACAAAGGATTTCCACTAGTTT